CACCCTGTGGGAGGGAGGGTTGCCAACAGAGGACTGTTCCCATCTGTTTCTTTCATGATCCTGTTGAATCAGCTTCACAGGGTGACATTTTTCTCATCTTGTCAACACATGAATGTTGGGGGAGGGACACCATCAACTCCAGGGCAGGAACCTCACCTGAAAAAAAACAAAAGCAGACATTAGAGGCGGCACCAGTGGACAATCTTGTGGCTCGCTGCCAAAGGGATGGCCCCTTCCTTTCCTGTCAGAACATTGCAGGGATGGAAGATGATGCGGCAAATCTCTCAAACACTCATTTCATCAACAAATGCTTAGTGCCTGGCAATGTGTTAGATTCTGAGGAAAAAATAATTGAGAACACCCCAGGCTTCTGCCCTTTCTGATTATACAGCCTGCACACAAGGGACTTTGATAATAATCCTATAGCCCTAAAGATAGTTTTCTTTTAGCATCTCTGCTCCTAGTCTGTTACTGGGATGTAGGGGTCACTACAGTCCAGGGTCTGTCCTCTGCTCTGCCAGTTCAGAAACTTGATTGTATCTCTTCTCCCAAAAGTGATTAGACTCCAAGGGAGATGACTCACTGTGGAGAGTGACACTTTCTGTGTCACTGTAACCACAGAATTTAAAAGCATGGAGTTACCTGGAGAGAAAAGTTCTAGCTTTGCAAGTATATTTTGAGGAGGACTTGATTTGGAGGAATAAGGAAAGCCTCTCTGCAGGAAGGACATTTAATCTGATTCCAGCATGGTGTGTCTGGAGAAGAAATGGGGGGTGGGGAGTAAACTCCTCCAGGAAGAGGATACAGCTTTGAGGGATAAGAAGGCAAGGCACTGTTTCCCAAAATGAGAAAAGCTGAAAGGATAGGAAGAGAGGATGTGAAGGGCAGGGGCCTGTGCTCATGCCACTGTGGTTGGCAGGGGTCAAGTCATGGCGGGCCTTGAAGTAGTAGGGATGACGTAAGTCTCGGTTGCTCTGATGTCCACTGCGGCAGTGCACTATGACACCTAGCCTGGAGCCAGAGTAATTGCATATTATGTGCTAATTTGTTGCCACCACCGCCTGGGCTTGAAAAGGTATGGGGCACTTGGGAAAAGGAATTTCCCAAAGTCTGGAGTACATGAGACAAGTGTTGAGAGATGATTCTGGAGAGTTCAAATTGGAGCTAAATTATGAAAAATTTTATTTTGACATGGGCAGTGGGGAGTTGCAGACTTGTTGAGCAGGGGAGTATGGTAATATACCTTGCAATGCACCCTTCGTTTGGGTCAGTGCTGGTCTCTGTATTGTTGGACTCTGTATGAGATGGCGTTCCCTCTGGGGAAGGAGGGTGGGCTGAACCATCTAGATTTGTCTAATTATACTCTGTGACATTCCCACATGACAAAATTGCTAAATGATGCATTCTCAGCACATGTGCCTGTCATTAAGTAGCATGTAGTGTGGTGAGCAGTCGAGAGGCGGCTGTAGTCCTGACAGCACACCTTGAACTTCGTGAAGGCTGGGCAGGCACACAGGGGGCCACAGCACCATCTCCCTGCTTCTTTTCCCAGGTGGTTCCCAAAGTGTTTGGGCGCATGGTGGGTAAGAGCCGGGAGTCGGTGGCCCAGGCCATGGTGCTGGAGATGTTCCGAGAGGAAGACTACAACAATGACGATGTCCTGGACCAGATGGGTGCCAGCATTCTGGGTGTGGAGGGCCCCCGGCGCCACCCAGACGAGCCCCCTGAGGATGAGGTCTTTGAGCTCTTCCCCATGTTCATGGGTGGGCTTCTCTCGACCCACAACCGGGCCATGCTGGCTCAGCTTGGCTGCCCCATCAAGAACCTGGACGCCCTGGAGAATGCTCAGGCCATCAAGAAGAAGCTGGTCAAGATGGGCCGGCAGGTGCTACCTCCCTCGGAGCTCCTTGACCACCTTTTCTTCCACTATGAGTTCCAGAATCAGCGCTTCTCTGCTGAGGTGCTCAGCTCGCTGCGCCAGCTCAACCTGGCCAGCGTGCGCATGTCACCCCTCAAGTGCACAGTGGTGGCAACTGTACTGGGCAGCGGAAAGCATGCTCTGGACGAGGTGAACTTGGCCTCCTGCCAGCTGGACCCTGCAGGGCTGCGCACACTCATGCCTGTTCTCCTGCGTGCCAGGAAGCTGGGGTGAGGACACATCCTTGAGAAGGCAGGAGAGGGTTGGAGGTGAAGAGGTAGGGAGAGAAGGTGTGCAAGAAACTAAAGGTCCCAAGGAAGGACCAGGGGTGTGGTGAAGAAGTCTGGTATGGGTGGAGGTGATAAGACAATGGAAGGGAGGGCAGCGGTGGACTGCAAGTGGTGGGATGGTAAGAAAGGGGCATGAGGATGGACAGGCTCCATGCTGAATCCCTTCCTTGCTTTCTCCCCTCCCCTCTGGCTGTTGTCTGTTCTAGCTTGCAACTCAACAGCCTGGGCCCTGAGGCCTGCAGGGACCTTCGAGACCTGCTGCTGCATGACCAGTGCCAAGTTACCACCTTGCGGTGAGTGCCCTGGAAGGGGGGCTGGAGGGAGACTCTGGCCATCCTCGTGGCCAGCTAAACACAAAGGTGAGCTCCCTGACTCAACTTACCCACAGAGACCCACCCATAGTGGATGGGGGTGGAAGTCCTATCCCCATCCTACTCCCCAGGTCTGGTACAGGCAGCAGGGCAGGGGAAGACCAGCAGCGATGGGTGCTAGGAAAACTCATGTTAAAATTCTGGGAGAGGAGGGGAAGCAGAGGGGGAAAATAATACTTATGTCGGTTGCCTGGTAACAGTGCCACCTGATTGCTTCCTGGGGTTCCCTCTGTCGCCTCACAAGCATGACCCTAGTGCTGGGAACTCAATAGATGCTCCTTAAGGGTCGACTGATTTACTAGGAGCCCAGGAGATACCTGGGCTCGCAGTTCAGTTTCTGGCTTGAGTGAGGGGAGGGGAAAGAGGAAGAGGGAAGAGGGAAGTCAAGAAGGGGTGGGGAGCAGGGTCTTGGGAGCAGGTGGGAAAAGGAGGTAGGGGAATATGAGGAGAAAGGAGAGGAAGTGGGGAGGGAGGGAGATTGGAAGGAGGTAGGAAAAGGGGAGCGGAGGAGCCGGCTTCCACCCACTGGCCGCCCTCTGTTCTCTCTCCTCCTGGATTCCTCTGTGACCAGGGTGTCTCTGCCCCAGGCTGTCACTCTTATGGCCCAAATCCTGATACACAGCACAGGTCATCTACTTTGGACCCTCATGGCCTTGGGGGGTTTGTGGCTGTAGGCTCTCCAATAACCCAATAACGACGGAGGGAGTGGCCCTGCTGGTGGAGGGGCTGGCCGGAAACACCTCGCTGACACACCTGTCCCTGCTGCACACGGGCCTTGGGGACGAGGGCCTGGAGCTGCTGGCTGCCCAGCTGGACCGTAACCAAGGACTACAAGAGCTGAATGTGGCCTACAATGGCGCTGGTGACACAGCAGCCCTGGCACTGGCCAAGGCTGCTCGGAAGCATCCTTCCCTGAAGCTGCTACAGTGAGTCCTGTTCCTGGTGCCATTGCCCCACTCCAGCCTCAGATTGTTCCCCAGAACTGAGATCCTTCCCTCTCACCAGTTTTTTTTTCTACACTAGGGGCACAGCTAGGCCTGGGCTAGTCAGACTTGTGATTGGACTTTATCAAGCTGCTTCTGAACCAACCCACCCCGTTGACCCTTACCTGCCTCATTCCCTACCACTATTTCTACGGGGTCCATGTGGCCCCATTCCTACCATCCATGGTCCCACTGAATTCTAGTGTCATCCTGCTTCCCACTGGCCACCCCTTCTCTGGCTTATTATAGTCAGGGGAAGAGCTGTGAGGCCCCTCTCTAGCCACCCATTCTCTGCCCCTCTTCACAGAGCCCTGCTGAATGGCATCTACTCTTCTCTCCTGCTAGGCTCTACTTCAATGAGCTAAGCTCAGAGGGCTGCCAGCTCCTGCGGGACTTGGGAGCCACTGCTGAAGGTGGCGCCCGGGTTGTGGTGTCACTGACTGAGGGGACAGCCGTGTCTGACTACTGGTCGGTGATCCTCAGTGAAATCCAGCGGAACCTCAACATCTGGGATTGGGGCCGGGTCGGGCGCCACCTTGTCCTACTGCTGCGGGATCTGGAAGCTAGCCGAGGTGCCACTCTCAATCCTTTGCGCAAGGCCCAGCTGCTGCGTGTGGAGGGGGAGGTCAAGGCCCTCCTGGAGCAACTGGGAGGCCCTGGAGGCTGAGAGAGTGGCAGCATGCACTATATACAATATATGTATTATCCCTGCCCCCAAACCTCTTTCTTCTATGGTCTCTTGGCTTGCATTTTTCCTTCTAGAAAGATCCCGCAGGTGGCAGTAAAGGAATGGGCATAGCATGGAATGTGACAGTTGTCCCCCTAGGGCATGTCCAACCAGTGTTCCCAAGTCTGGAATCTCCAGGAACACAGAACATGCTTCCTCTCCCTTTGGCTAGAAGGACGGAAGGATGTGGCATGTTGGTGGCCAAATTTTCCTGTGGCCCCATCACCAACCTTGCCTCTCTCCACTCAAGGAGCGTCTGACTATGCCACCAGAGGGCACACTTCTTCTGTCTGCCTTCCCAAGGGTGTTGTCATCCAGATGTGGTGGAGGTCCTTCACCCCAGCCTTTCCGCTTCTCTGCAGACACAAAGGGTGCCCGCAGTCACTCTCTTCTTATTGGTGCTCTCCTCGTGCCCCTTTACCACAATGGTACCTATGCTTGGTGGCCCGAAGGGCATATGCACTGACTTGCTGCTAATAAAAACCTGTGTGTCTTTCAATTGCTGTGGCCTCTTCCTTGCCTGATCACTTTCTGTGCATGTGGTTCTCAGACACGGAGTGCAGGGGAGTGAGGGCTGGGTGGTGCAGCTGGCTGTGTGGGTCCTAAGAATCCCTTCACCCTCTCAGGCATACTTATCCCAGGCTTGGGTCCACAGCGACTGGCGATCGAACTTTTTCTGAGTATACAGGGACCTGGGACAGTAGCAGTCTTCAAAGAAAGTTGGGGGCAGAAAGAACATGCGCACTTCTCCAGAGGATAAGATTCTCCTCCCGTTAACCATTACCCCACTGCTTCCAAGGCAGCGTCTTTAAGGAGGCGGGACGTGGCCAGGTAGGTGGGAGGGTCAGGTGTTTTCCATGGACCTTGTCCTTATTCCGAGCACTGGGTCGCTATTCCAACTATGGAGGCAAATGCAGGTACGAAGCCAGGAGAAATCCTGCCTGGAGGGGCTTTAGGGCAGATAGAGGCAGATTGGGGCTACAGTTTTGGGGTTAACAGGACATACTTGGGACTTGGAGCCCAAAGGCCAATAGGCTGGGAGTTAGGAGAGGAGAGGTGAGTAGACGCCTTTCTTCCTGGTCCACGCCCTGGACTGATCGGAGCAGATTTCTGTGCCAAGGGTTGGGAGGCAGGAGAGGGAGGGGAAGGGAAGAGCCTTTTGGAGTGGAATGTAGGGACAAGTTCTGAATTTGGGGCTTCCTCTGAGTCTTTCCTGTTAATGACCACGGAAGAATTTGGGGGTGGAAGAGAATGTGCCTCTCCTCCTCTCACCCCTTCTTTGTCCAGCAGATCAGCAGGACACGGCCTTCTTAACTCCGTAAGTGCTTGCTGTAAGGGGTTGGGGCAAGGGGAGGAAGGAATTGAAAGCGGGGAAGCTCATCATCTGCCGTTAGCACCTCAAATACAGCTGGGACCCAAGTCCAGATGTCAGCTTTCTCTTCCCTGTGTCTCTGTCTCCTTACAGGAAGTTTGAGTTTAACCCAAAACTGGGCATTGATAATCCTGTCCTCTCCCTGGCAGAAGACCAGGGCCCTTCTGGTAATCCCTGTGCCCCTAAGCAATCATACCCCTCCCTTCCCCACCAGCCACACCCTGCCCCCCTCCCTCCCCCCAAGGGCTCCAAACTGTCTCCCATCTGTTTGGTAACCACAACTCTTCTACCCTCTCTTATCACAAGCCTTGGTGGAATAGAGCTACAATGACAGAGAATGGGTCCAGGCATTTCCTTCTGTCCCAGCCACTCTGCCCACATGGGGTTCAGCCCCACTGCCCAATACCTAACTGGGTAGAAGCCCACCCAGTGCCCTATCAGAGGGTCAGGGTCTGCCAGGAACAAGGTGAATTGAACTTGGCCCATGTCCCCTCTCTCCCCCCCCCTTTTTTTTTTTTTTTAAAGATTTATTTATTTATTTATACAAGCACTGGGTACAGTCAGAAGCGCGGGAGGGTGAGAGGATTCACCAGAGACAGAGCGGGGAGCAGAGCAGGCAGACTGACGAAATACACTGCTGAGGGGAGCAGCGGGCGGCAGCAGAGGTCTGCGCGCCATGCGTGACCCTCAGCTGGCAGCCGGGGATTGAACCGATGCTGCAGAGGCTGTGGGCAGCTTTGCAACCCAGCGCTCAACCGCTGCGCCACCGGGGAGGCCCTCTCTTCCCTTTTTTTGAAAAATTTATTTATTTATGCATACAAGAGCTTGGGTACAGGCCGGAGGTGAGGAGGGAGGGAGTGGTGAGAGGATTCACCAGAGACAGAGTGGGGAACAGAACAGGCAGATTGACTGAAGTACGCTGCTCAGGGGAGCAGCAGGGAGACAGGAGAGGTCTGCTGCGCCATGTGGGTTGCTCCTTGGCTGGCTGGGGATCAAATTTGTACTGCAGTGGCTACAGATAGCTTCATAGGTTGTGTCTTAACCCCATGCGCCACCAGGGAGGCCCCTCTCTTCCCTTTTCTGCTGCCCACCTCTCTTTCCAGATCCTGAGAGCTGGAAGCGTCCTCGCTTCTGTCTGCTGAGCAAAGAGGGTGGGAGTTTTGGCTTCCACCTGCAGCAGAAGCTGGGCAGCGCTGGGCCTGTGGTATGCAGGGTCGATCCAGGCACCTCTGCCCAGCGCCAGGGGCTTCGGGTAGGAGACCGGATCCTGGGGGTGAACCATGAAGTTGTGGAACAGGAAGATTATGCAGTGGTGAGCTTGGGCTGGGACTCCCCGTGTCACCTTAGGGAGAGAAGCTTGTTGGTCACTTTCCAGGCATGTGGATATACACCCAAGCCTCAACCCTCCACTTTCTAGGATGCAGGGGTGCCCAGGTCAGAATGGTTGGGTGAAGGCATCTAGGGCTGGTTCCATTGTGAAAAATTCAGGCTCCAGGGAAGAAGGCTGGCAAGAAGGCTGGGCCCTAGTCTCACCTGTGCCCTCCATCTAGGTGTTACGTCACATCCAGGCCAGCGGTCCTCGGGTGCTGCTGACAGTGTTGGCAGAACACATACATGATGTGGCTAACCATCAGCAGAGCGATGTCCACCTCTGTCCTACCCTTGGCCCAAGCGTCCGGCCCCGGCTGTGCCATGTAGTGAGAGACAACGGTGGCTTTGGCTTCAGTATCACCCACGGTGAGCTTAGGGGCTGGGGAGCGGGGATAGGAAGATCAGATCTCAGCCCCTATTTTGAGCAGGCATCAAGCAGGCTGAAACCTGTTGGTTTTCTTTTTTTTTTTTTTTTTTCCTGTTTCCAGGCCATCGAGGTTCTTTCTGGTTGGTGCTGAGTTCTGGAGGAGCAGCTGAGCGGGCAGGGGTGCCCCCTGGGGCCCGACTGCTAGAAGTGAATGGGGTCAGTGTGGAGAAATTCTCTCATAATCAACTCAGCAAAAAGGTATGGTGCCCATTTCTCCATCCATCCTCCACCCAGTTGGGCCTGGGGCCCCTGACTCAGGAAGCAGACTCATGCCCCACGCACTTAATCTGATATTATAATCTGATATAACTAAATCTCATATTATACCTCCTTCACCATCCTCGTTCCAGTTTGTTACAGGCCTTCTTTCTCCTTCCCTTAGTGCTTCCTTCCTAGGCCTGGGGGTGGGGGGCGGTGACGAGGGGCCTGCCCCTGCTCTCCCCACCCAGATGGCTGATGCTGATACCCTTTTGGGTTTGCACAGCTTTCGCAGAGTGGAAAGCAGGTTACCCTGCTGGTGGCAGGGCCAGAGGTGGAGGAAGAGTGTCGAAAGCTGGGAATGCCGCTGGCTGCACCGCTGGCAGAGGGCTGGTCACTACCCACCAGGCCTCGCTGTCTGAACCTAGAGAAAGGGCCTCAGGGCTTTGGGTTTCTACTCAAGGAAGAGAAGGGCCTGGAAGGCCGCCCCGGTGAGTGGGAGTCCCTTGGGGTGGGGGTAGGGAAGGTGGGCCTGGGGACGGGCACACAGATATCTATATACATCTCTAGGTGCACACAAGTGGTCTCCCTGTCTCAGCCCCAGCCCTGGCTTCCTCCTCCTGTGTACCCCTGGTCAGTTCCTATGCACACAGTGGCCTAAGCTGGCCCTGGGGGCAAGTGGGGGAGAGGCAGTAATGATGTCTATGTCCCAGGCCAGTTCCTACGGGAGGTGGACCCAGGACTGCCAGCTGAGAAGGCCGGAATGAAGGCTGGGGACCGGCTAGTGGCTGTGGCTGGGGAGAGCGTGGAGGGGCTGGGCCATGAGGAAATAGTGTCCAGGATCCGGGCACAGGGCTCTCGTGTCTCTCTCACCGTTGTTGATCCTGAAGCTGACCGCTTCTTCAGTATGGTGCGTGCTGAGGGATAGGGGTAGGGTGGCGGGGTGGGGTGGGGTGGTGGTGTGTTGGAACAGGGTTTCATGTTGAGGGAGAAGCAACTGGTATGTTCTGTCTGCCTCCTTCCAGGTTCGCTTGTCCCCACTCCTCTTCTTGGAAAGCACAGGGGATCCTCCCTCTCCCCAGGACACCTGCTCAGCCACTCTGGTTGAGATCAATGATGATGACACCACCGTGCGTCCTGTCCCTTGTGGCTCCCGCCAGTGTCTACTGTACCCTGGGCCTGGTGGTGGTTATGGTTTCCGGCTCTGCTATGTGGCCAAAGTGCCTCATCTCTTCATCTCCCAGGTGACTGATGCCCCATGGACCTTGGATCCTTTCCATCATTTGCCTCCTAATGACCCATCCTCCTCCACTGCCCTCCCCCCAAGGGCCTTAGAACACCAGCAAAAGTTTTCCATGGTATTCCACACTCTGTACTGTCCCACACATCCGCAGGTTACCCTAGGAGCCTCAGCTGCCCGGGCAGGGCTGCAAACGGGAGATGTTATTCTGGAGGTGAATGGGTATGCTGTCAGTGGAGAGAAAGACCTGGAAAAGCTTCAGCAGCTGGTTGAGGCTGAGCCACCCCTGTGCCTGACGCTGGCGGCCAAGTCTCAGCAGGGCTTGGAAGCCTGGATTTCTCCAGGGTCTGCAGAGGTGAGAAAGAAGAAACAGATGATTGTAAACAGTCAGAGGACAGGGGGAAGTCAGGAAGAAAGGCAGAGCAGGAGAATGGGGCATGCAGATGGCACTTTAGGCCTTATGGCAGAAGCACCCCTGGAACCAGCCCATTCCTGAGCACTCTAGGGCAGCTGAGGGCAGGGAAAAGGGACTCTTTGGTCCCTGAATAACCTTCTCCTTTCTCTCTCTATTTAGGATGGGGCCCTGGCTTCAGAGCTGCTATAGAACTGTCCTGCTTGGCACAGATCTACCCAATGACTTCATTCCAGCCTGGGGTGATAGGAGTGGGGTGCTCCTATCATCCCACTCCAGAAACAGCTGGACTCCAGGACTCTGGAACATCCAATCACAGGATTACTCAGGGTCTCCCCATTTCTCATGGGCCCACCTCCCAGAATAGGGTATGGTCAGGGACCTCCAGGCAGGCCCATAGGAAGCTTCCCCTCTGACGCCAGAGGAAGTAATGGGGGAGCTTTGGAAGCTATGCCTCACGGCATACCATGATATGGTATGATATTGTAATTTATAATAATATGTATTTGGGGGGCTTCCCTGTTGGTTCAAGGGGTTAAGACGCAGCACTATGAAGCTATCCATAGCCACTGCAGCACAATTCAATCCCTGGCCAGGGAGGTGACTCACATGGCACAGGAGACCTCTCCTGTCTTGCCTGCTCCTTCCCTCAGCAGTGTATTTCAGTCGATCCGCCTATTCTGTTCCCCACTCTGTCTCTAGTGAATCCTCTCACCCCCACACCTCTGGCCTGTACCCCAGTTCTTGTATGCATAAATACATAAATCTTTTTTAAAAATGTATTTATTTGGTCTTCATCCTATTTCTGGCATAGAACTCCCAAAACCCCTGTAATTTTTAAGTAATAAGAGCAATAAAGATGCCTTTTGTTATTCATAACAAGTTCCTTTCAACTGTACCTAACATTGTTAATGAAGTGATTTTTGGGAAGCAACTAAGAATGGGGGACTGGTTGCCAGGGGAACCAAATGTGTGATTAGAGGGTTGGAACTTTCAATCCCACCCCACTCTCAAATCTCTCAGGAAGGGAGAGGGGCTGGAGGTTGATTAATCACCAATGACCAGTGGTTTAATCAGTCCATACCCTGACCTGTGCATCTCTGCCATCTGGCTGTCCCTGAGTTGAGTTGTGTTTATGTCCTTTATACTAGACTGGGAACCTAAACTGTTTGCCTGAGTTCTGAGAGTGGCTCTAGAAGATGACAGAATCGAGGAGCAGGTGGTGGGAATCTCTGATTTGTAGCCCAGTTGGTCAGAAGCGCAGGTGACAACCTGGACTTGTGATTGGCACCTGAAGCAGTGATGGCCTTGTGAGACTGAGACCTTAAACTCTGGATGGGACTGGCTAGGAAGGAAACCACCTGGAGTTTGCCTTGGGCATGACTCTAGGACTCTTGGGTGTAATGCAAGAATTTGGAGATCAGTTACACCTTCCCTCCATGGGCACCTTAAAACTGTGGAGGCTGGTGCCTGGTCACTGTTGGTCTGTTACAGAAACAGCCTTTTCTTATAAATCTGATTGCCTATGTATGTGTGGGAGGGGAGAGCAGGCAGTGGCTGGAAGGAACCAAAAGGGCCCTGGGCTCAAGGGATAGAAACTAGTTTCTCTAGGAGAGGGGCTGAAACCTCATCAAATTTCTCCTCTGTCATTCAGTTTTGGGGGTAATGGGTCAGCCCAGAACCAAGATGTCCTCACAAGAGTACTCATTTCGTACAAAAAACCACATCTCACAGTTCTGCTGAGTGCTCCATCAAGATAGCTTTATTGCTGAGGACTCAGAGAGCCCAGACACTAGAAACTTACAACCTTAAAGATCTAGGGGATTGAGTCCAAACTGGCGGAGCTGTTCCTTGTGTCTGGCCTGGAGTGTCAGCACAGCCCCATGCCACTGAGGTTTGACAGCTCTCATTTTGGCCAAAATCCGGTCCAGGCTGTCCTGCAGATACCCAGGCAGGGAGAGAGCAAGGGTCAGGAGTGCCCCAGGTTGTCTGTAAGCTTTCCTTTCTAGTGTTATCGTAGAGTACTTCTTCTCAGTGGTGGTAGCGGGGCACTGTTGTATGCCCCGGCTGTCTGCCCTTAAGATAGAGCAGAACTGGGCCTCCCTGGTGGTGCAGCGGTTGAGTGCTGGGTTGCGAAGCTGCCCACAGCCTCTGTAGCGCCAGTCCGATCCCCGGCTGCTCCCCGGCCACCGGAGGAGGGTCCCACATGGTGTGCAGACCTCTCCTGCCGCCCGCTGCTCCCCTCAGCAGTGTACTTCGGTCCTTCTGCCTGCTCTGCTCCCCACTCTGGCTCTGCTGAATTCTCTCACCCTCCCGCGCTTCTGACTGTAACCAGTGCTTGTATAAACAAATAAAAATAAATCTTTAAAAAAAAAAAGGTCAGAACTCCTTATGGAGATGCTTCTCCTTCTTCTGGTCTGTCATTGACACACTAGTTGGGGTTGGTGGGGATCGGGTGTGAGGGCCACTGGAATGGCTGGGGGCTGGGTTTCAGGGGGTGGTGCTTACTTGTAGGATTTCCTCATACTTGGCCTCCATGTCTGCCACGTAGGCCTGAAGCTGAGCCACAGTCCTGTCCCGTTCTCCAAGGGCCTGTTTGGCCTCTTCCTGTGCAGCCTTAGCCTCCCTCTGGCATGTCTCTGGGGCAGAAGGATGAAACAGGGCAAGGTGGTAGCACACTACTCTTAGATGGAGTCTTCAAAGGTATCCCCAAAAGCAGAATTTGAGTGAGATCATTCCAGACCTTCCCTTCACCCCTAGGGACATCAGCTTACAGTCCCTGTAAGAGCTGAAGTCGACTGACCATTAAGATATAGTGGAGAGGGCAGTGGACTTGGGACAGGAGATGTGGGTCCAAAGTCTGCTTGTCACTTACTACCAGTGTAACCTCAGGCCTGTTTCTCTCTGAGCCTCAGTTTCATTATTTTTAAAGAGAATGATAGACAGCTCATAGACTGGCTGTAAGAGTTAAATGTTTCCATGTCTGAAGAAGCACCTCCTATATAGGAGGTGCTCAAGAAATGTTGATTGAGGCCTCCTCCCCCCCCCCCCCCGCCCCCACCCCGGTGGCCAATGGGTTAAGTCTCAGTGCTATCACCTCTGTGGCCTGAGTTTGATCCCTGGCCAGGCAGCTACCCACATGGAGCAGCAGACCTCTCCTATCTCTCCCGCTGCTCCCCTCAGCAGTGTATTTCAGTCAGCCTTCCTGTTCTGCTCCCCACTCTGTTTCTGCTGAATTCTCTTACCCCCTGTACCTCTGGTCTACACCACAGTTCTTCGACGCTTAAGAAAAAAAAAAAGGAAAAGAAATGTGTGATTGGTTTTGTTGAGATAGGCCAAAGATTAGGAATGGAACTCATGGCCTACCTGGTGGGCAAAAGCAACTCCTGATATCTGTAATTAAACTGAAACTATGTTAGGATGAGAAAGCTTTGAGGCCAAAATTGTGATAACTATTTCAACTCTATCCTGTAATCAAGAGGGAAGAGAGCAAAAACTCCGTTATTTTGTTTGAAATCTTTTTGCTTGGTGGATTTATTCATTTGTTTAGCAAATAGTTATTGAGGACTTGCCAGGTGCTAGGCCTTGAACATATGGAAATAAGCTGAATATTTTCCCTTAGTTTTGTTGTAAAAATCAGCTAAACTAAAAGGGGATATGTTTGCTCGTGAGAGACAGGGCAGTGGTAGGGAGCAAGAGCTGAATTTGGAGAAACCTTTGAGAGGGGAAAAAGGGTGAGTGTTATGTCTTCTTTACTTGTAACTTAAGATTTTTCCCATCCTGCACCCTGTGCGCGTGTCGTCACTGGGGGAGAGTCAGTGGGAAGGTGACTCAGAGACCACACCGCAGCTTTCCAGAGAAGACTCTTGTGTCCACTCCTGAGGCTGTGCCTTGCCCATGACCCTTGGAAAGGGGGTGGGAAGCCTACCTAGCTGCTCCCGAAGGCCCCTCACTTCTTCTTCCAGCTGCCTGTTGCGGGTGCTCATCTCCTTTTGCAAGGCCCGGCACTGACGACTCATCTCTGTGGTGGGGACAGGGGGCACCCAGGGACCAGGTGGGGATGGAGTAATGGCGAAAGGAAGTTGTGGGTGGGGAGGTCTCTGCTTGGTCCAGTGGGGGTAGGGTCATAAATGCATTCTTGGCTCTTGTGATGCTGAGAAGCTGGGAAACTCTGAAATCCTGGGGAACTCTGAAATCCTGCAGACCCCCTCCCACTATGCCAACTTAGGATGGGGATTCTAGTCTTTTTCTCCACTCAGTCCCAGGGGAGGAATGAGATGAAGACCATGCTTGCATGTTGTAACTCACAAACATGAAGTATATGGCATCAGACATCCTGAGAAGCCCCTGCCTGGGATCCCTCCTTTAGTTCCTTCCAGATCCTGCCTGATTTGTGCTGAGCTGGGAAGGCTGAGACTAGGTGTGGTAGAAGGAAGTCCTCGTTTCCCTTCCTTGCATCCTCTGGTCCTCCTGGTTGTCCTCTTCCAGGTTCTTGTCTCCTGCCCACCTGCTGGACCAACCACATACCTGCATATATGGCCTTCCCTTCACTTCGGGTCTGTTCCAGTTCAGCCTCTAGCCCTTGCAACCTCTGCTTCAGCTGGTCTTCAGAAGCTTTGGCTCGGCGGGCCTCATCCCTCCGCAGAGCTGTGAACAGTCCCAGGGTACCCCTTAGGACTGGCTGGGGATTCCACAGAATCAGGCCCCCTGGGCTTGATGGAGCCTGCCCACCTCTGGAAACCTGGTGGCAGGCATCCAACCTCTCATTCTCTCTCTGGGTTTTGTTTTGTTTTCCCTAGAAGCCACAGGGTCTTTATTATTAAGAAGAAAAAACTCCCTCTGGCTATAAAAAATAACTACCTTCATTAAACCTCACTGTCTACCCCTCCCTCACAATACCAACTAGAGACAATCTTTTTCCTTGAGGGGATGGTTACAGGGCAGCTCAGACACCCATTGCAACTCCAACGCTCCAACCCCCCCAGCATAGAGAAATGCCCTCAGAGCTTCCACTCTTCTTACCCAAGTGGTCTCGGAGCAGTTCCTTTTCCAGCAGTGCCAGCCTGTGCTTGGATTCGGCCTCCACATCTGCCCTGGCAAGTTGGCAGAGCCATAGCTTATCAGGATCCCAGGCTTCCTCACTTCCCTCCCACCCCCACCCCACACTGTTAATTTTCTTCCTGCAGGAGATAGGAGGCCCACTAAATGAGGGATCTCTCTTGGCAGAGTCTGGGACTTAAGCTATTGTTGGGAGCCTGCTGCTCTAAAGGGAGCTGGAGTTTTGGGAGAATATCTATTTACTCTGCATATGGAGTTCTAGGACGTTAGAAGAACTTCACAGAATTGACTCCTGTTCTCTGAGGACATGCTGGTTTATATGCATGTTCCCTACTAACCAGGAAAACTTGTTTTCAGCAGTAACTTATTAATCTGTATAAGCAAAACCACAATTGTGTGCTATTTTCTTGTTCCTTTGTTCATGTCTTTAACAAAAGCTTGGGCCGGGAGAGTGAAAGGCAGAGCTGCTCTCGATGGCGCTCTCCCCAGCCTCCCCAGCCCCCCTCCCCCCATTGCAAATTCATTTAGAGAACTTTATCGGCTGTCCTGTCTGCACCAAACTATGAGAAAATAAATCTTAATATATGAATATATAAGGAAGGCTCAGAGCCAGAAGGGGCTCAAGTCAGGGGTGAATGTCCATTTCCACACTGTCCCAGGTCCATGGAACATGGATGTAAGGATATGAGATGA